GCAGACCCAGTAGAGATACCAGTTTGATAGCACACTGGTTTTGCCTAACCTTCATCCTCCTCTTCACTACACCAAAAGCAATAATTAACTGCCTCTCTCTTTCCTGTCGGAGCTAGGAATCTCACCCACATCTCACTCAGCAGTACCAGTGCTAGGTGCCTTTTCTTCAAATTGTCTAAATGATTAACATAATGAAGTTAAACCCACAGCAATTGCTCTTACCTAGTATTTATCTTGCAGGCTTGTTTCTATTTTAAACCTGAAAAAGGGCTGGCATGCCCAAAAGCTCGTCATCTTTTTTCCCAGCTATACTTATAAAAAAACTTTACGCACTCTACAAATCCTTCCTTATTAGCTAATAGGAACACTTTTAGTTCTGTTTTAGAATTAACCACAGTTTAAAAAACAGTGCAAAACCCAAAAGTGAATAGCTGACCCCATCTGTTACTTTTTTGCTTAAATACACACCAGCAACTCTCAAAGGCACAGTGGACATAAAAAAATTGTCTTCAGTATTGTACTTTGTGTCTTGTGAATTTTCTGTATCTCTAGAGTAGGATTAGAGCCACTGATGACATTTCAGTTCATTGTTCCAGCTGAGAGTTAGTTCCACGTTTGTTTTCATGACTTCAGACTTCATTCTGGCAGCTTGAAATTACATGTGTTCTTAAGACATAAGTGCCTCTACAGGGTAGGAGTTAAAGGTTAGATCTACCAATTTACACTTTAAAAAAGTATGTGGCCTACAGGAAAGACAGATTTCATTTATGGCTTCACTGCCTAATACAGGAATAAGTATTTCACAATAACCATGACAAATACAGAATAGGATGAAATAAGAAAGAGATCAGTGTGGTATTTTACATGTGTCTTTGTGCATACTTAATAGCTATATGAACTTAAGAATGTGTTTACCTTGTATCACTTTGAAAAAGAAAAATATGAAACAATTTTCTGTAATTTATAAAGTAACAGCAAGCATCAGACAATATTTGGAAACAAATACCAGAATGGGGGATCCTGGAAATAGACTGAATATGCCAGTAAATTAAACTTTAGAGAGGAAGGCTATAATTATTCTATGTTAGATGTGGGAATTAGTTTGAAATTAAACCTCTCAAAATTCATCTGGCAGCGTGTTGATATAAATTCAGTTATGTAAATGGAAAACCTAGTGCTGCTTGCAATGTCCCAAGGCCTTCTATATCATCTTCACCTGCCACCCCAAGCTGGCAGAGGTCTTCTACCAGCCTTGAGTCACTTCTGTTGGTCTGTGTAGGTGCCAGCAGGTATGACACAGGGCCAAAAGAAGACTTGTACCCTCTTTAGCAACATCTGCAGGACAGATATATTATCCTAAGGCAACTTCAGCTAATCTGGTAACCTATGTGTTAGCTACTAAATTGAGCCTGCTGTACCTAGAGATGGGTTTAATGTCTAACAAGGTAGTTGTTTTTCTTGTCAGCTTAGAGTGTGGAGTCTAATGAAACTCAGGTTACCATCTCCTCTGCATGGCCAAGAGCTGGATCTCTCACCAGCCTCCACCAGCTGAACAGACAATATCTTCTCTAATTAAACCGGGAAACTGAAAGCCTGATCACTTGTAGACACCTATATTTAGACATATGAGTGAAGGCATCACAGCCTGAAACTGAATCTTTCCCTGCCAGACTCACCTAGTAAAACTTGAGAAGAATGCTGATTCAATCTCTGCTCAGTGAACTGCTTAACACATTCCCATGGGAACTACTCAATAACATTTCATGCCATTTCTCCCTCTGCTAGAACTTTCAAGTCAAGCCTTGCAAATGTTTCAATATTAAGCAGTTTTTGAATAGCTTTTTTGTTTCTATGTGTGATATCAAATTCCAAAGTATGTGTAAATCCAGTGAGTGATATTGTGAGCATATATTGAAATTACTGTGTTACCCAGAATAAAACAGTATAGTCTGTGGTTTGTATGGAACAAGTTCATATTTATATCAGACCAAAATTATAACAGTCCTTCTATCTCCAAAACTGGACTTTGATAGAACAGAATCATGCCAAATGATAATGTGCAACACAACAATAGCTATTAGTCCAACACTTTCTTTGGCTAAACAGATCTGAGAACAGGTTTCATGAAAATATCTCTTTTTAGGGAACAATTTGCAATCATTACAAACACAAGCACTTTGTCGAGAAAAAGGGCCATCATGATGGTGAAGTTCACTATACATTTGTGGAGCAAGGCCTCAGTGAGTTCGACCTTGGTGATCTGGCCCTGTGCCCCTGATTGAGAAAGTAACAACTAAGGGAATATCTGTCGACCCAAAATAGGAAGGTATCTGGCTCGTGCAGAACGCGTGAACAGTAGAATTCACCAATTAGATTATGAACAAAGCCGCATGCAACTAAGGCAGTACCCTATCGGAATGCTTCTGATAATGCATGAACAATTGCAAGTAGTATATAAGGGCAATTTTGTAAGTAAAAAAGGTCTTTGGCTGGCACCCCACCAGAGTCTGTGCCTTTCATCTCCACAAATGGCACCCAAACAGGGACAGAATGCAGAAAATAGAGCATCTGGTGGAGAGCCCAGCCGAACTTAAGAAGAAGCAGGCAACGGGTAAACAGAGAGCTGCAGTCCGGACAACAAAACACCTGGAAAAGAAGGTGAGCGGCTGGGGACGTAACAATGGGATCACAGCTGTCCTCTGAGGAACAGGTTATAGTTCGTTTACTTAAGAATCTATTAGAGAAGCGCGGGATTTCTTATGAAGAGCCCACGCTCCGTTTGCTGCTCACCTGGCTTAAAAACAAAGGCATGGCAGCGAATTCACAGACAGCATTTTTGATAGATACATGGACTAAGATGGGGGAGCTTTTGTGGGATGCCACCACCAAAGGTGATACTACCGCGGTAAAGATCCTGACAACCTGGAGCCTGGTTACTGACTCTTTGAAACAATTTAAAGTAGACCGTACTGCTCGGGCAGCTGCTATTGTAGCGACAGTGCCGATGGCTGACTCCCCAGGGGAACTGGGTAGCTCAGAGGGAACAGCACCCCAGACGCAGACATCCCCCTCTGCTCCACTCTTAGACCAGCCAGTTCCAGTCTCATCGTCCTGTCTTCCAGGGTTCACAGCAGGCGAACCACAATCAGGCAATAAATCGTTCTTTGATCCGGGAGACAGTGAGTCTCTTCCTTACGGCTCAGCTTTCACCACGAATTATGACCCTGTAGCACACTGGCAGAGTGTGAGGCACAAGGCTATAGCAGAAGGGGAGGTAAAGACCGCCACAGCTCTGGCATGTCCCGTAATTACTCAAAATCAGGGACCTAATGAGTGGCAACTGCTACAATGGGACCTTATTAAGGAGTTAAGGAAGACTATTATGCAGCATGGTCTCACTTCGCCGTTTGCACAGAGTCTATTACAGTCTGTTATGAAGGGTTATTTGTTGACTCCTCTTGATATCAAAGCATTGACGGACTTAATATTCACACCAACTCAGAGAGTATTGTGGTTGTCGCACTGGAGAGGGATGTGTGAACATGCCGCTATGCTAAATCTTGGGCAACAACAAGGTGATCCATTGTTTGCTGCTGGAATTTCCCAACTTAAGGGGGAGCCTCCGTCAGCGACGCCACAGTTGGAGGCACGGCTCGCTCCAGAGATATTACAGCAGTCACCAGACTTAGCACTGCAGGCTATACTCAAGGTTCCCGATACTGGCAAGGCAGAGAAATCATTTACGACCATCAAGCAGGGGTCCAGTGAACCGTACATGCAATTTGTAGACAGACTACAGAATGCTATCAACAAACAGATAGAAAATTTGGAGGTGAAGGAGGCTGTACTGATGAAATGGGTGTTAGAGAAAGCTAATGAGGATTGTAAAAGGCTGTTGCGGGCTCTGCGAAACCCTTCTCTGGTAGAGATGATTGAGACGTGTAATTGTGTGGGGTCAGTCACGTATAAAAATGAGGCATTTGCGGCAGGCCCGTCCCCAGCCCCTCCGACAGGCAACCGAGCCTGTTTCCGCTGTGGTTGGCCTGGTCATTTTAAGCGAAACTGTCCTGAGAGGGGCAGTCAGATTTCGACACCATCATCTGGGGCCACTCTTTCGTTATTCGGAATATGTCCGCGATGCAGGAGAGGCAGACATCATGCTAGTCAATGCCGTTCGAAGTACGATGCAGATGGCAGGCCCTTGTTGGGAAACGGGAAGCCCAGCGCGAAGCAGGGGCGCGCTCCGATACAAATACCTTCAGCGCCCCAAGCAGGCCTGAGCTGGGGGAGACAGCAACCTCAACAGGCTTGGCTCACCTCACAGCAAAAACCTCAGGAAGTGCTGGAGTGGATGTCACCACAGCCGCCAGCATCACGATAAACGACCAGACCGTCCATAAGATTACTCTTAGTATAAAGGGACTTTTGGGGAACAATTTAAGTGCTTTATTGCTAGGCCACTCCAGTACTGCATCTCAGGGTCTTTTTGTACTCCCAGGAGTCGCAGACACAGATTTTACAGGACAAGTATCGGCTATGTTGTGGACTCCATTTCCCCCTGTGCATGTACCTGCGGGAAGTTGAATTGCCCAGACAGTTCCCTTTCAGAGTGCAGTGCCAAAAGTGGAACAAACAACACGGAGAGATGGAGGGTTTGGGTCCACAGGTGAACCAGAAATTTTTTGGACTCAACAAATTCAAACAGGTTGGCCCACCTTAACCTGACGCTTGAGGAATGTGAATGCGAGTCCCGAGCAAGTAACGCTTAAAGGGATGGTAGATATGGGGGCAGATGTAACCATCATTAGTGCCTCCCGATGGCCGCGGACCTGTGGGATAGTATTCGTTAATACAGGACTTATGGGCATTGGGGGCGTGTCTAGCTCCCGACAAAGTGCTCATGTCATTCAAGTTATCGGACCGGAAAAGCAGGCAGCAAACATCCGTCCATTTGTTGTGGATGTCCCTCTTAACTTATGGGGGCGGGATGTCCTTTGCTCATGGGGAGTAACGATAGGCACCTCTGCTCAAAGTCAGCATTTTTAGAAGGGGCTGCTGCAACTGAGCCTACTATTTGTCTCACGTGGCTCACTGAAAAGCCTGTGTGGGTGGACCAGTGGCGCCTATCATCAGAGAAGGCCGATGCATTGAGAACACTAGTGGATGAACAACTACAGCAAGGATGCATTGTCCCTACCACTAGCCAGTGGAATACACCTGTGTCTGTCATAAAGAAAAAGAGTGGTAAATGGAGACTGTTACACGACCTACGACAAGTCAATGCAGTGATTGAGGACATGGGGGCGCTGCAGCCAGGCATGCCCTCTCCAACAATGATTCCCCGAAACTGCGATATTATCGTCATGGACTTAAAAGACAGTTTTTTTATTATACCTCTTGCTCCTGAAGATGCATTGCGATTTGCCTTTTCATTACCATCAGTAAATCATCAAGAACCTATGCAACGGTACCACTGGACAGTACTACCTCAGGAAATGAAAAATAGTCCCACTATCTGCCAAATATATGTAGCCAAAGCACTGTCTACAGTTCATCAACAATATCCAGATATCATCTGGTATCACTACATGGATGACATACTACTTGCAGGAAAAACACCTGAGGCACTGACACCGGTGATACGAGATACCCTTGTTAGCCTCAAGGCTTACGGCCTACAGTTAGCTCCTGAGAAAACACAGCGTCAAGCTCCATGGAAGTACCTAGGATGGAAAATACTCGAGCATGCCATCGAACCTCAAGCTGTAAAATTACAAACAGACATCAAAACACTGAACGACCTTCAAAAACTGTTGGGGTCTATTAACTGGGTGAGGACATTTTTGGGAATAGACAGTAGTGTACTAGAGCCATTGTTTGACCTATTGAAAGGGGCCCCAACTCTGGCCTCCTCTCCTAGTTTGACAACAGCAGCACAGGAAGACTTAGCAGAAGTGTCACAGGTGATTTGCCACCGTCAAGCACAGCGAATCCAAGAAGGAAAGGGTTTTAATAAAGGGTATGTTATTAATCAGTCTAAACAACCTGTAGGATTATTAGCCCAGTGGAATGAGGATGAAGAGAAGGATCCTCTATCCATAATAGAATGGATCTTTTTACCTCATCAGCCTCAGAAAATTATAGTCACCTGCGTCAAAATGTTTTCCCTGTTAATTCGAAAGGGTCACAGGTGAACGCTAGAACTGACAGTAAGGGAGCCTGATACTCTCTTTGTACATCTCACTCAGGATTATTTAACTTGCTGCCAAGCCAACAGCCTAAGCCTCCAAGTGGCTTTAGAAAACTATACAGGACAGATCTCTATTCACTTTCTGTCTCGTAAGTTGTTGTCCTTTTGTACAGAAGTTAACCTGGCCTGACCGCCACTGTGTCAGTCTGTTCCAATTGATGGCATTACGTTATTCACCAGTGGTTCAGGTCGGTCAGGAAAGGCAGTCATCGTTTGGTATGATGGCAGCAATTGGCAGCATTAAATCCACCAAACCTTAGGGTCACCACAAATTGTAGAACTGCACGTTGTTGTGCAGGTGTTTACACACTGGCAGGATCCACTAAATTTGGTCACTGATTCACAATATGTCGCAAACATTGTTACCCATCTTGAGAAGGCATGGTTAAAACATGTCGATAATGAACCACTGTTTTTGTTGTTTAAACAGTTGTGGGATTTGCTATGTCAACGTACTAATCCTTATTATGTTTTACACATTCGCAGTCATACAGCACTTCCAGGAATCATAACAGAGGGTAACGCGCGTGCGGACCATCTTGCAGCACCAGCATGGGCCGCACCAGTTCCAAATACCATTGAACAAGCCCAACTGTCACATACCTTTTTCTATCAATCAGCAAAGATGTTGCGTCACCAGTTTCGCCTGCCCTGGACTGTGGCACGCACTATTGTCCAAACATGTCCCAACTGTCAACAGATTGCACCCTTGCAGCCTGCGGAAGTTAATCCCCGTGGTCTGCAGGCGTTGCAACTCTGGCAAACTGACGTCACTCACATCCCTGAATTTGGGAGGCAGAAGTATGTTCATGTGTCTGTTGACACGTTTTCAGGGGCCGTATGGGGTATGACCGAAACGGGAGGGAGAGGTAGAGACATTCTCTGACACTGGGGGGGTGCATTTGCTGCCCTTGGTGTCCCATATCAAATTAAGACAGATAATGGGTACATAAGCGCAAAGACTCAAGAATTCTTATCTAAATGGGGTGTAAAACATACAACGGGAATCCCACCCTCCCTTCAAGGCCAAGGAATAGTGGAACGAGCACATCTAACCCTTAAAATGGCCCTAGAAAAACAAAAAGGGGGAATGATAGGGGAATCTCCACAAGCGCGCTTACAAAAGGCCCTATATCTCCTGAATCATCTAACAATCAGAGAAGACAATCAAATGGTAAGTGAAAATCAAAAACCAGTTATAATGAAGCATTTCTTGTCCATTAATCTGACACATGGTATACCATCGGAACAGAAGGCTCAGGTATGGGTGAAATCATTAGAAACGAATAAGTGGGAGGGACCATTTGATCTGATAACTTGCAGTCGAGGATATTCTTGTGTTTCTACAGATGGAGGACCACGGTGGATCCCAGCTCAGTGCACCCATCCGTATTTCCCCGTTGACGGCTGATGTGTCGTTGATTTGGGGTTGATCCGTGGGAGCTACGCAAGTTCAACCGATCACTTTTTGGAGAAACACCAAGCGGAAACACCTCTTGCACCGGGGTTTACGGTACTCTGACCTTTAAACCACTAGCTCTTGATTTGGAACATACTGTGGAAGTGAACAGGTGTTTAGAGGATCATCAGGAGATGGAAATCCCATGCCTCGCATGTCCATCTACCTGACACAGTTTGTGGACTCTCTGTGAATGTGTACTTTGCACGTGTTATTGGTATTGTTACTCGCGATATTGGGAAGGACTGTGTAGATTTTGTAGGAGAGAGAGTCACGCGTCAGCTAGCGCGCAGATTATCAGGTTCCTATGTGGAAGAGCACACTGCATTCCGCGGCTGGGGGAGGTCTGGGAAAGTGACTGCGAAAAGACAACAGGACAGTGCGAACGACGATTTGGGTGGAAGAGAAAGGGAAAACCATGATGACTACAGGCCTTCTTATCAAGGTATATCTACTGGGAATAGGGGTAGCTAACACTGCTTTTAATGCAAACGCATATGTAGAGCTTCTTAAGGCAGTAGTGAATTATACTAAAGTTAAGGATTGCTGGCTTTGTGGGACTGCTGACCAACTGGACTCCCCAGTCCTAGGAATCCCTTGGTGTAATTGGATGGATTTGGATCCATATAGCTTGAATAATTCATCTAAAATCTGTAGGCAAGGGGATGTGACCACGGAAGAAACTAATTTTGTGTTGACCTTGGTAAATGAGAGTGTGGCGTTTATCAATTACAGCATAGGAGGCAAGAATCTAGGATCCTTCCACAAATCTAGTGGTAATTGGTCTGCGATTAAGTTAAAACTGCAACACAGTTTTGACGTCCTTAGGCCAGATAAATACTAAGAAGGGGTGGGCACCCAACAATGGGCAGATTATCTATTTGGCAGAGCAACAACGAATTACGCCTTAGCTATAAATGCCAGCTGCAACCTGCCGGATGGATTCTGGTGGTTGTGTGGGGACTTGCGGGCTAGGAAGCAATTATCAAAGAATTGGACAGGGGGATGTACCATGGGAGTTTTGGCCCTTCTGTTGCAGTTGTATAATCATACTGACATGCAGGGTATACTGAGAGTCACATGGAGGAGATTTTGAGCGAAAAGAAGCAAGCACTCAAACCCATTGATTCGTTATAACACAAGGTACCACAGTTTTGTTAGGATGCTTTTTCCCAGCTTAGGTGTTCTTCAGCTAGAGCAAACAATTAGAAACATCTCAGCAGAGATGGAGGTGATTGCCAATAAGACGGCTGATGCGATACTAGGCCTGAAAGCCGAATTGGACTCAGTGAAAAAGGTAGTTCTTCAAAACAGAAAGGCCTAGATATCTTGACCGCTCAAGCAGGTGGGGTCTGTACAATGATAAATGAAAGCTGTTGTAGCTTTGTGGACCATACAGGGTGAATTCTTACAGACGTGCAAGAAATATGGAATCATGCAAAAATTTTCCATGAGGTTGCAAGTAGTGCTGGAACATCTTGGTTGGACGACTTGTTGAGGAGCTGGGGAATCACAGGATGGTTGCAGTCAATTGTTAAAACAGGATTGTTAAAGATAAGTATATTTTGCTGTATCATGCTTATTGTGCCTTGCTTGCTATGTTGTGTGAGAAACATGATTCAAAAAATGATGAATCGGGTAATGATGATAGAAAAACAAAAAGGGGGAGATGTGGAGCAAGGCCTCAGCGAGTTTGACCTTGATGATCTGGCCCTGTGCCCCTGATTGAGAAAGTAACAACTAAGGGGATATCCATCGACCCAAAAAAGGAAGGTATCCGGCTCGTGCAGGACGCGTGAACAGTAGAATTCACCAATTAGGTTACGAACAAAGCCGCATGCAACTAAGGCAGTACCCTATCGGAATGCTTCTGATAGCACGTGAACAATAGCAAGTAGTATATAAGGGCAACTTTGTAAATAATAAAGGTCTTTGGCTAGCACCCCGCCAGAGTCCATGACTTTCATCTCCACATACATTTATGCATTAGTAGTATCCTGGGGCATATTTATTTAGCAACAAGTAGGTTAGGTTCAGACTTGCATGATCTCTAGCTGATATTAAAAATGGTTTAGCAATACACTATACCAGAAATAACACCTAAATCCATTTTACCTTTAAGAAAACTGTTTCATAAGAGCTTCTGATGCTATTTTTTGAGAGATTTTGTATCAAAGAAGGTAATTTTATCTAATTTCTTTATTGGTCTCCAAGTCATCAGTGTATTATGTTTAAAGAAACAACACTTGGGAACTGCTTGTTTAATACATTTTATGTATGTATATATATAGTTACATATTATACATATATACAAAACATATATTTATGTATATACATATACTTTTTATAAAACTATATATAATATAATACTGTTAATATCTATAAAAGGGGAAATAACTAATTGCATTTTGGAACATTCCTATTTTTATACATAACTAGAAGGGAGTATTCATATCATTAGTAACATTTAGCCATGCATGTAAAGGAGAAAATCCTAATTAGATATTCATTTATGTACATTATTCATAGTTTTTTGCTGACGAGTAGCCCTGTGAGAAGAACATCTGTTTTGTTATGAAGTTCCTAATTTGAGTGGGTTTTTCCCCAGTGAACAGACAATTCACAATATTAGAGGATAGCTCTTTGAATAGGGTTAAAATGAAGACACTCTATGGATGCTTTAAGCAGCTTTCCTGTTTAAATGAACTAGGAGGCCATCACCATTAACTTCAACTAGGATGTAACAAAACCTACAGGCTAAAACTTTTGTACTAGATATATAATCAGATTGTGCTGTTTTAATTTAAGCACACAGTATAATATGTGCGCTTATTCATGCTAGTGTATAAGGCAACAAAAGAATAAATTTTAACTTCCACATTGAAACCACACAATACCTCCTACAAGACATATGGAAACTTTTTTTCAGGCTAGGAACTGAACGAGTAATTGACTTAATTGTAATACAGCAACATTATACATACAAAAGGCAACTGCCACTCAGACTCACACAAAGACATACTCAAATGTAAGATATATTTTTGGGGGGAATAGCTGTAAGTGGTGTACAATTTGGAAAAAAAGCAGGGAGAATCATAGAGCAACAGAATAATTCAAGTTGCAATGGGCATCTGAAGGCCTTAGATTCTAAGGTCAAATTATACTAAGGTGTTCAGGGCCTTGTCAAAGTTGGAGCTTTGAATATTTGCAGTCATAGAATTTCCACAGCTTCTCTGCTTAGTCCATTCCTGGGCATGATTGCCCATGTGACAAAGTATTTTCATAGACAGATTTTCAAGCGTTTCATTATAAAAGCAGTAGAAATAGCAGACAGTCAAGAATGATCTAGCTGGCCATAAATTAGGAGAGTACCAATCCCAGAGGGAACAAAAGGAGGACACAGAAAAATCATAACTGTGAAGAACTGTCTCTAGTTCAATAATATTAAGAGCTTCTCTAATGAATACAGTTGGCAAGGGAAGTAT